CCCCCCCCCCCCCCGTTCCTTTGAACTAGCGATACTTGAAACTTCGGTACTGACGAGTCGAGGACAATTATAGCGGTGCTGCCAGCCGTATCGACAGGTTAATTAACTACGATACCGAATACGAGTACAACCCGAGGCGTTAGATTTTTTTTTTTTTTTACCAATCAGATCGATATTCTAAATGTTGTTCGATCGTTTTTTCGATCGATAAATTTTCTATATTGTGTTCTTTGCAAAAGCTTCAGTTTCCTTAAGTTGTCCAATCGAGCCAGGTAGCAGTTCTTTCAGGACCCTAATTCACGGTGGCGGTTGGTTGGAGATTGTTTACATTCGTCTCTTCCAGTGTCCACTCACTTCTGCCCGAGTACAAAACAAAACGTTCTCAGACCAGGAACTTTAGGCTGTCCACACGTGTAAGTTTTTTGATAGATAAAGTTCTCGCTTCACAGATTTAATCATATATATGAACAAAAGTTGTATTTTTTTTTACATAAGTAGTTCTTGCATTTTTCCGATGACGGGATTAGGGTCAATGTGGGAACAATAATGTTTTAACAGAGATCCGAAATAGGTCTCTTGTATCGCTTTTATTTGAGGTCTTATTTTTAACTGGAGTGTGTGTTATATTAGACTATAACTCTTTCCCATTCCTTCTCCCTCTCTTCCACTCTCTCTCTATCCCTCTCTGTCTCACTCTCTTTCTCTCTCTCTGTCTCTCCCTCTCACACTCTCTTTCTCTTTTCTATCTCTGGTTCACCCTCTCTCTCTGTCTCTCTCACTCTCTCTTTCTCTTTCTCTCTCTCTCTCTCATCCTCTCTTTCTCTTTATTTCTCTCTCTCTCACCCTCTTTTTCTTTTTTTATCTCTCTCTTTGTCTCTCTCTCTCTCAAGTTCTATTTCTCTTTCTCTCTCTTTCTCTATCTTTCTCTCTCTCTCTCTCTCTCTCTGCAGCTCTCTCACTCTCTCTGTCTCCCTCTCACTTTCTCTCTCTCTTAGTCTCTCTCTCTCTCTGCCTCTCTCTCTCTCTCTGCCTCTCTCTCTCTCTTACTCTCGATTAATCTTCTCTCTTTTTCTATTTCTTTCTCTCTCGCACTCTGACCTTCTCTCGTTTCGCTCTCTCTTTCTCTTTCTTTCACTCTCTCTCTCTCTCTCTCTCTCTCTCTCTCTCTCTCTCTCTCTCTCCCCACAGTTTGATTGTCTTCTCTATATGTATTAATATGCTTTAACTCTGATGTCTTCTCTCTCTCTCTCTCTCTCTTTCTCTCGCTTACTCTTCTCTCTCTTTCTCTCTCTTTCTCTCTCGCTCTCTCTCCGTCTCTCGTTTCTCTCTCTCTCTCTCTCTCTCTCTCTCTCTCTCTCTCTCTCTCTCTCTCTCTCTCTCTCTCTCTCTCTCTCCCAACAGTATGATAGTCTTTTCAATATGAATTAATATGCCTTAAGACTGATGGCGCCAAAGTGTGACATGTCTCCTCCATCTGGTTTGATATGAGATATGGATATCTGCATCCAGTGCAGCTGGAGTCTAAACCCTGGAGTTGATACTAGGAATTATTTACCACCTCTGAAGCTCTTCTTAATTGCAGTTTCTTTAGGGGGGACAAAGCGGACGGAACGAATGAATCAAATAATTTGGTCTTTGGGGAAGTGGGTGTGTGTTTTGTAGTTGTTGTTTTGTTTTTTTTTTTGGGGGGGGGGTTGAAAAAATACGCTATATTTTGTGTTTAAATATCATTCTATTTAATTTATTAAACTCAGACAAGTGTTTTGTAGCCTCCCTCCCAGTATCTAGCCTCTACACCTGTCTAGGCGGAACAGTCTTGCCACATGTCTATATCTTTGTTAAGTCTTCGGTGCATGAACTAGCAGAAATTATACTATCAAGTGGGTGGGGTGGGGGGGGAGAAGGAATCCATAACATATGTATTACCCTTTTAAGTCCCCAAGACTGTATGCCCCCCACCCCTCATTCAATGCCAGATCTCCCACCTCAACCCCCCACCACCACACACACACACTTTTTTATTCTCACCCCGCACCAAAAGCTTGCTGATAGTATCAGGACTAAGAAATGTTATCAGTCTTGGTGAGATCGAACGAAGCAAGCGGATATGCCCAGTGAAAGCTGGTCCACGCTTGGAACCTTAGGCTGGTTATGAATATTTGATGACGTCGTGCGGCTCGTTTATCAGATGGTGTCGAGCCTGTGTGTCCCTTGGGTAGCTTTATAACGATCTTTTTGAACTGGCGAGATATAACTTAGAATTTATTTTAAAAAAAAAAAATGAAATACATTCTGATCAGCGGCGTGGCCAATAAGGGAACATGGTATAAGTCCTCAACCCCGGTGTGTGGTTGGGGTATGGGACGCCCCGGGGATGGCATTGATTTTTGCCCCCCCCCCCCCACTCATGAATTCAACAAAATATACAAAATGCACACTACATGTAAGGCATATATTAGTATATGCAGTTATGCAGTGGACCAATATTGCGTCTTAGAAAAAGTGCCACCCCCTGGGCGGATCGCTCCATCGACGCCCCTCTTCCTATGCCACTATCTCCACCCTAGAGCCCTAGAGAAAATGTCACAACGTCTAGACAATAAGAATACATGGTATTTGAAGGATAAAAAAAATTGTTAAAAGCTTTCACGCCCCAATGTGGATAATTCCCTTAAGTGAAAAAAAACCACCAAACACCTTTCTAATCCTTTCACAATTCTTTTGCTACCCTCTCGGACACTGCCTCTCAGCTAAGTGCTGTATTTATATATAGATAGATATATTTAAAATTTTATTCTGTTTTTATGTTGCTTGTTCGCTGACGAAGGCTTCCAGCCGACACGTTCGTTGTTGTGTTGCGTTCCTTCTGTCAGGTTTAAACTTACTTTGTTTCACTCATTTCCTAATCCTGTAAGTAATTTCTGTAAGTGCAATATATTACTATCTATATAAGTAGTATATGGTACAATCTATATAAGTAGTTGCTTATAAATAACTGGTTGTCGGTATTTATTTATAAACGTATACGTCATTTATTTACACGTGCTATACGAGAGTAGAGCGCCAAAACTTTAATGTCGTATGGCCCCGCCGAATAATGTCTCAAGTAAACTCGTAGAACGTCGCTGCTTGTAGCCATGGTGTACACGACTTGCACATTGCATCCATGCTCTACCTACACATGTTCCTTGTGATTCAAAAGGTTCACTCGTTTCAATATTTTATCTCTGAAAAAAGCTATTGTAATCCACCAACACGTCTTTATCATGGACTGCTTGTAGAATAAGGGCGTCATTTAAAATTCACATTTTAGCCAGTTCACTTCACGTTACAACGAGAAGCAAGAATTTCAGCAGACAGAAAGGAACACACACAAAAAAAAGAAAAAAGTAAGCTTTGTTTTCACTGCACCAGGACACAGCAACAAGACAACAAAAGAAAACAGAAGTAGTGGCAAAAACTAACAGTGGTGCATGGCCTCTGTCTGGTCGGGGCAGAGCACTCTTAGAAGAAATAAACCCAACATGGGAGAGCACTCTTAGAAATAAAACCCAACATGGGTTATCGACAAGTCAAGATTTTTATGTATATCAATGTTATATTAAGCTAACACACCGCTGGTCTGTCAAGCTATATTCATGTACTTTTCTCGGCCGTGGAGGTCACGGGGTGCCAGAAAGGGCAATAAATTAAGGGATTTTCTTTAGTCCAGTAGATCCAGCCCTTTAAACAGTTGGTGCATGCCTGGCCATGAAACCTTACCGTATATCATGCCAGTTTGGCCTTTCGTTCTGGAAGGAATTATCTTGTCCAACTACTTTACCGTTTGGTTTGATGTATTACAATGACGTGATCCTTGGGGAAATCTTCATGGCGTTTTTTAAAGGCCCATTCCAAAGAAAGGTTTCTTGGACCAAACGAAACCATGTTGCGATGTTGTAGAGTAAGTATGGAGAATTTGGCAATTTTTAGTTGTTTATTTTTGTTGTTGTTGTTGTTGTTTGTTTTTAAAGTTATTTAAAAGAGTTTACGTCATAATAAGCCGGTTAAAAAACAATCTCACAGTGAACTCATCAAATGTGAACTCATAGATAGACAGTTGTCATAGATAGACGGGTGTCATAGATAGACGGGTGTCATAGATAGACAATTGTTATAAATATACAGGTGTCATAGATAGACAGTTTTCATAGATAGATAGGTGTCATAGATAGACAGTTGCCATAGATAGACAGTTGTCATAGATAGACAAATGTCATAGATAGACGGGGGTCATTGATAGACAATTGTTATAAATATACATGTGTCATAGATAGACAGTTTCATAGATAGACAGGTGTCATAGATAGACAGGTGTCATAAATAGACAGTAGTCATAGATAGACAGTTGTCATAGATAGACGGGTGTCATAGATAGAAAGTTGTCATAGATAGACAGGTGTCATAGATAGACACAATACATTTTGTGAATAAATGATGTCTCAAAAACATAAAGGTCTTATTTAACTTATTTAACAAAATCGTTGTGCATTTTTGGAGAGGGAAAAAAACTATCAACGATCGCATTGAAATCAAGACTATCATATAGAACAGTGCATCATATAGAACAGTGCATCATATAGAACAGTGCATCATATAGAACAGTGCATCATATAGAACAGTGCATCATATAGAACAGTGCATCATATAGAACAGTGCATCATATAGAACAGTGCATCATATAGAACAGTGCATCATATAGAACAGTGCATCATATAGAACAGTGCATCATATAGAACAGTGCATCATATAGAACAGTGCATCATATAGAACAGTGCATCATATAGAACAGTGCATCATATAGAACAGTGCAGAATTGTCTGCATCATTCGTTTGATAAACAATAGAAGTAGTTTTCCTGGGCGTTAAATTCACATATATGTTTGTGTCATTGTATGCGTGTTTGAAGGAGTAAGATAGTTACTCAAATCATCTGCTGAAAGCCATGATTTTTTAAAAACAATTTGGTAGAAAGCTTCAAGTAAAGTTAGTGTTTCTGTACGTACATTATAGTACTATCTATATAAGTAGTATATGGTACAATCTATAAAAGTAGCATATAGACTCATATAGTACTATCTAAATAAGTAGTATTTGGTACTATATATATAAGTAGTATATGGTACTATCTATATAAGTATTATGTGGTACTATCTATATAATTACTACTTTGTACTATCTATATAAGTAACATATAGTACTATTTTTATAAGTGCTATTTTTATAAGTGCTATAAGACACTATTTATATAAGTATTATATGGTACTATCTCTATAAAAAGTAGACTTAAGAATGTCAGTAAATAGTCTGTTCTTGATGTTTGGCCAGTCTTCTCCCCCCCCCACCAGCCCCTTCCCATCCATAATGATTCCATTGCGGGTGACCATTGAAATATTGATTGGATCCCAATGGACCACACCCACATCGACCGTTGTGCCTGCTCAATGGCACGTGTAAATGTACGATCGCTCAGTTGAGATGATCCAATTCCTTGGTGTTGTTTGACCACAAAAGGACAACTCACATGGAATGAGGTGAAACATTACAACACGGGTGTCATATGTGGATGTGTTGTGGGACACACGTGGGTATGTGCATAGACACACGTGTGGGTGTGTATAGGACAGTGTTCGGCCAACCGCGGCTCGCGAGCCGCATGCGGCTCTTTAGCGGCCTGAGTCCTGCTCGGCCAGTCGGCCACAAATCGGTTTTGACTCCAGAAAAACATGCTTTTTTGACAGGTTCTTGAAAAGAAATGTTGCTGTCAACATTTTTTTAATCGTCCTGCTGCTGATTTTGGCTCTTGTGACTAATGCGTTTGCCGACGACTGGTATAGGACACAAGCTTGGATTTGCATTATAGACACACGTGTGTGTGTGTGTGGGATACACGTGTCGATGTGCACAGGACACACTTGTGGATGTGTAAAAGACACGCAAACGGATGTGTATAGGATATAAGTGTGGATGTGGCTGGGGGATGGGTGGGGGATGGGTGGGGTATGGCTGGGGGATGGGTGGGGTATGGCTGGGGGATGGGTGGGGGATGGGTGGGGGATGGCTGGGGGATGGGTGATCCCACCAAAAAGGTTATCATTTCCTAATTTATTTCAAATCCATCTGTTATATGCAACATTTAGACGTGAATACAAGTGACTTTATAGGCTCGTACCTTCTACTCTACTGAATCGAACTCAGAGATGCACAACATCCTTGTTTAAATCTGATCTATGGCTCTGTAATGCACAGCTCTGTAACAGTGTTAGTTCACAGATTTAAGAAACAGCTTAATACAGACTGGTGATCTAAACCAGGATTTCGTTCTACACGTACCTCCCTCACCAGGACCCCATGTCATACCTCCCTCAACGGGACCACATGCACCCTCCTCACCAAGATCGCATGCCATGCCTCCCTCACCAGGATCGCATGTCATTCTTCCCCTACAAGAGTAACATGTCATACCTCCCTCACCAGGATCACATGTCATGCCTCCCTCAAGAGGGTAACATGTCAGACCTCCCTCACCAGAGTCACATTGCATACCTCCCTTATCAGGCTCCCATGTCAGTATATAAAAAGTCTTCATATAAAATCCAAAACAGTTATTGATTAATCACTTTATACACAAGGGTTGCCGGAAAAAATTAGGATACACGTCAATAACACTTTTAGAACCACTGGGCAACTGCATTGATCTGTATCGAGTCAGTTTGAAGAAGACTGTTGGGAGTTGAACTGTCGGTTACAAGTGATATGCCTCTTGGCTGTCTCCTTTCAACGACAAGGTTTGCGATTCTTCAACGTTATTTACCACTCGGAGCATAAAGACAAGTGCCTTCCACTGGAGACATAGTACTTGGAGCTGAATGGTAATGACATAACAGCTCCTTTCGGTTGCACGTATGCTTAAGTTTACAACGGCGCATCAGCTTTTTATACGTCTTGTCACTCCCGTTCCTGTTCATTAAAAAGTTGCCTGCTAGGTCTGCTCTAGGGTTTCCATTCATCATTAATTGAATAGAGGACCAGCTGGAAATGGAACTGGAAGTCCATAATGTGGTAACTAGGTGTATGTTCCAATGTGTGTTTTTTCCAATGTGTCTGTTTCAATGTGTGTCTGTTTCAACGTGTGTCTGTTCTAGTATGTCTGTTTCAATATGTTTCTTTTCCAATATGTTTCTTCTCCAATATGTGACTGTTCTAATGTGTGTTTTTATTCCAATATGTGTCTGTTCCAATATGTGTCTTATCCGTTATGTGCCGTTCCAATATGTCTGTTCCGATATGTGTCTGTTCCAATATGTCTACCATTCGACCAATTATCAACAAAACAATTGCGCTTTTATTTTTCAGATGTGTTCCCTGTTAAGAATGTGAGCTGTTCTTCGTGCTCTGCAATGCTGCCCACAAGTGATCCACATCAATGTTGTCGCAGCTAGTCTATTGGATCCTTTAAACACACCTGATTATAATCATCCAATCGTTTAGAAGCTCATTGTACGTGCGCGCGGCAAGCATGCTGCAAACATGGGATTAATTGTGAATGATTCATTGCAGTGAACCATCTATAACCAGGCAAAACAATTCTTCAATACCCGGTACTGTCTATAACATATTGCACGATTTACAGCTTGACTAAGTCTGTCGAAAATCTCATATCTCTCACGTCTTCAACTGTCGAGCTAAGCATCGTTGATTCCAACACGACCAATGTTATCATACCAAGGAGATAAACGCTAGAGCTCTTCTGCAATACAATTTGGGAGAAGGGGAAAAACCAGCTGATTTTCCCCCCTCCAAAATGTCCCAGGCGCTTTCATTACGTAACATCCGTATGCGGATTGAGACGGAAGATCCTTTGTACTATGGACAGAAGAAACTCAAAATGCAAGGCCGGGACCTCGTCAACTTGCCGAAAGCAGTTTTCAAAATAATGGAGCTGGAGGTAAATCGTGGTGTGGGGTGGGGGGGGGGGAGTATGACATAAATGGTCCCTATTGGGCTGGGTGAGCTTTTGTTTCGTATAAGGTATGTTCCGGGAGTAGAGGGATCCGGGGGGTGCGTCTTGGGGAGGGGGGGGCGGGCTCTAGGCTCAGCAACTGATTGTTATGACCTCCCAGGGCTGGGGGTGGGGGGGGGGGTAATGATAAAGAGCGGAATACAAACGTTTTCTGAGAGCAGCAGACGCGATCAGACGATCAGACGGACCCCATTGGTGAAAGAATAACAGATGTGATAAATTATGAGCGAATTTGTCCTGATAGGGAAATATTAACCGGACGTATACATCTGTGAGTGCATTCTGATCAGTAGGCCTAACGTAAGATTTGGGCAGACACTTTCAACCAGGACAGCGGGGTTTGAATGGGGGAAAATGTATAAAATATCCACAAATAAGGAAATACTTTTTTTTATTTAAAAAAAAAAAAGAGAGATAGTTTTGTTTGACGCCACTCTTCACTGTCTTTCATCCTTCTCTCACCTCTTTACTTTCTCTCACCCTCTACTTTTTACTCCTCATCTCTACTTTTTCTGACCTCTCTACTTTCTGCCCCTCCTCTCCGACTGTCTACTTAGTTTACTTTCTATCTCTGTATTTGGGTTTCTCTCCCAGAATCCAGCACAAAATAGACTTCCTGGGAAATTTTCCCATCCCGGGGTCCACTCTTTTAGAGAACAATTTTCTTTATTTAAAAAAAAAAAAAAATTCAGCAAAATCACAGACTTTCCACAAATTGTCACTATAAGTCAGTACCTGTAAAATCTAAGTAACTGCGTTGAATTACTAATCTCAGTCACTCTGGTACTCTATTCGTTTTCAAGTCACGACCACATCTATATAGATATATGCAAAGTGAAGCTACAACGATGTATATATATTTTTAAAGGCTTTTAATAGGGTAAATTCTTGCAAATAAAAGCATTTTACAAGTAGACTTTTCACAGTCGCATTTGAAGACATATTTGAGACCATGATTTAAATTGTAACTCTAACTATAAGGCAGGCCTGCACAACATGCGGCCCGCCTTACAGTTTGAGTTGTGCAGGCCTGCAGAACATGCGGCCCACCTTACAGTTTGAGTTGTGCAGGCCTGCAGAACATGCGGCCCGCCTTACAGTTTGAGTTGTGCAGGCCTGCAGAACATGCGGCCCGCCTTACAGTTTGAGTTGTGCAGGCCTGCAGAACATGCGGCCCGCCTTACAGTTTGAGTTGTGCAGGCCTGCAGAACATGCGGCCCGCCTTACAGTTTGAGTTGTGCAGGCCTGCAGAACATGCGGCCCGCCTTACAGTTTGAGTTGTGCAGGCCTGCAGAACATGCGGCCCGCCTTACAGTTTGAGTTGTGCAGGCCTGCACAACATGCGGCCCGCCTTACAGTTTGAGTTGTGCAGGCCTGCAGAACATGCGGCCCGCCTTACAGTTTGAGTTGTGCTATGAGGCCTGCTATGAGACATCAACTAAAAAAATGAAAACTTGATCGTCGTAATTTCTCTCAGATATTGTTTCAGACGATCAACCCCACAGAAATCCCTTGGCAACTGCATTGGAGGTCACGTTCCATTGGCTCGGAACCTGCGCTCTAACGACTTTTAGATAATGTTATTATTTTTTACTAGCAAAATCAACCCATTAAGACAGATGCATCAATAATCCGTTTTTTCTGCATTTCAAAGTTTCATTTTTTAGTGTAAACAACTCCTTGCGTTTAGAAACATGAGCGTGACACATTAGAAACGAGAATCTGCGACCTGTACAGAAATTTCTCAGGCGGAGGGAGGGGGCTGGGGAGAGAAAGTACCTAGTAACACGTGACCAGCCTATCAATTGCTTTTCATTCATTTATTTAAAAAAAACACAAAAAAAAACTTGAATAGGTTCATTTAGGTTATGGTATATTTTAAATTGAACTAATTTTTCCCAATATTTTCCAGGATGAATCCCGGGATTCAAAGAGTATCCTTTTCCCCGGGGATAAGCATAACCCTGGGAAATGAGAAACGCTACTGTGTATATACTCTCTCACCTCTGTCGTTCGTCAATTCTGTCCATATTTACCATTTGTCAGATGTCTCCTCTCTCCTCCCCCCTTTCTTTTTTTTTCCTCTCTCCCCCTACAACCCCTATTTTGACCACCTGCGTAACCCCTTGTGAGTTACCTGGTAGACCTGCAGTTGACGAGTTTGTTTATTCCAGGTCCTTGACTTGAGTCCCGAGAGAGAGGCGTGTCTCGACTACAAGCTCCAAATATTACCAGCAGAGATAGGGAAACTCCTCAACCTGACCACCCTTATCCTCGACACCAACGAGCTGGTTGAGGTAAACAGGAAGTGACATCATCAAGTTATTATAGGCTTTTTGGTCGATTTTATTTTAAATCGTTAATTTAAAAAAAAAAAAAATTAAAATTACAAAAATAAACAATTTTCCACATTTGGTCTGAAATATTACGTTACTCTGTCTGCTGATTAAATAAAAAGGTGCAAAATAATAGTATATAGTCGAATGAAACAATATTCTTCTATGTCTATAAATACGGCTTGTGCACTTTTCCAAAACATTATCGGCTGTCTGCTATTGGATATTTTACTCTTTACATTTACGAACGTTTCTGTAAGTGTAACCGAGTGGCCGGATTCAAATGCTAGTAAATACGAGCTATTCATGATTATCTTTACAGCGCCCGTGGGCGCCTGCCTGCAGGTAGAAGTTCCAGAACCTCTCGATAGCGTGATCAATCAAATTCGACCAAATAAACTCAGAGAAGAGATTGATCCCCTTGAATAAATACTGCGTCGTAAACAAAATATGAATTCCTCAAAGGGTCACCTCGTTATCGAATACACCGCCATCAATCATGAGTAATCATGACCGCCGGAAACTGATAAGCCAAGAGAAACGGAAATACACCCCCCAACCTAATTTTTTAAAACTTTTGTCCCTTCTTTCTCTACTTTGAAGAGCTGAGGGTTAGCTACGCCTATTTTCCCCTAACGCTACCGGTTGTTGCTACGCGTATAGCAGTAAATACTGATGGAAAATGATAATCGTATCGATAAGCTAATCACAGCTGACAGCTAATAGAATAGTGGAGCTATTTACGACATGATATTATTTGGAAGTAAAATCTTACTTCCATCAACATCATTTGCATAAAAATTGTTCTTGTTGCAATTGCAATCAATGCCCTGAAAAGCACGAACTTTCAAGTAGGGCCGTGCGAAGGGGTGGGCTAAGGGTGAACTCGCCCTGGCCCCCAACAACAGGGGGCGCAAAAAATCATCTACGTTTTTTAAGAATATTTTTAATAACGATACACCTGCCCATAAATGATCCCTCAACAAATCTTTGATTAAACACATCCTCTATTGTGACACACAGAGACATCCCCATATTTAAAGGCTACACATGCGCAATATGTTATATTTTTGTTGTTGTTGAAATAATCCCTCTACATTGAAAGAACTCAAAAGTGAGCGAGAGACAGTTCACTTAACGTTATCAGAGGCAATGTTTACAAATAAAACATGGCATAAAAAAAAGTTATTTGATGTTTTAAGAATTACTCAAAGTTATTAAATTATTATTATTTACAAAACACACAGGATATCAAACTGTTATTGGAACGTATTTAACACAAAGTTTTACTTGCTACTTTAAGGCTTGCATTTTAATGAATAGGCCTATTTTACATTTGATTTCACCAGAGCCCAATTCTTTACCAGAGCCCAATTCTTGGCCCCTTTTATTTATCTATTATATACATTTTATAGGAGTTAAACTTTCTATTGTGTCCGATTTAGGGTCATTCATATAATTTTTTTTTTTGCCCGCATCATCACAAATTTGCCATAAAATTTAGACGCCTTCAAAAAACATCTTCACAAAGTCGTGACCACCCCCCCTCCCCCATTCTACTAGATGTGTGACATCCTTTATGGTTGGTGCCTCAGCCTAAAAATCTTACACTAAGGGTACGATCATGAATTCTCAGAGTTTTTATACACACACGCAAAATGTAAGCTATTCCAGCGGAAAGACTCTAGTGCGCAGATTACATTAGTCATGATTATTTTCAAGAAATATACTTTTTTAAAAAGTGATTTTGGTACAATTTGAATGATTCTGTAAGCCTGGATTCTTGCACACGGGCCCCTAGGTTTGATATCCCCCGCCTAAGCTTGAACAAGAGAATACTTCCAAACCAATGTCGTAATCAAGCCGGACATAGAATGTTCATTCATTACAATTTTGTTTTCTTAAATGTTGTATTCTCAGTATTTTAAGTCATGTTTATTTTATATTTTATTTTACAGCTTAACAAAAATAATTAGTAGGTATGATTATAAATTATTTACATAATTTCTTCAAGAATCTGTAGCTCATTGAATGTTTTAATTGTTTGTTGATATCAATTTGACTCCCAACCCAGGTTCCGGTTGAGATAACGCTTCTAACCAACTTAGAGCGACTCGCCCTGAGCAACAACCACCTGACAGAGCTGCCCAATGGGATCAAGCGGTTGAAAAAACTGACCAGTCTTCACATGGCCAACAATAAGTTTCAGATATTTCCGATGGAACTCTGTGAGATCACGGCCCTTGTGTTTCTGGACGCCAGTGATAACATGATCAAGGTATTCTCCCCTTTTGATAACATGATCAAGGTATTCTCACCCTTTAATAACATGATCAAGGTAGTCTCCCCTTTTGATAACATGATCAAGGTATTCTCCCCTTTTGATAACATGATCAGGGTCTTCTCCCCTTTTGATAACATGATCAAGGTATTATCCCCTTTTTATAACATGATCACGTTATTCTCCACTTTTGTCCAAATATAGAATCCACACTGTGAAGAAAGTGAAGTGTAATCTCTCCCCATCCCAACTGGGATATTTGGGTAGGGCGGGGAGGAGCATTTGCCCCCCCCCCCCAAACACCAAGTGAATTTTCAGGTTTCATTTAAATTGTAATGTACTGTGGCACCCCCAGTAATAAACAACTTTACAAGCCGACCAAGTTTTGGTTTTTTCCCCCCCCCCCCCCCGAAAAAAACCTGAAATGACGCCCCTGATCCCAACCACGTTAAGTAACTTAAGCGCCTCATTTTGAACATGTGAATAATCCGATAAATATCGCTCCGATGAGTGAGCTACCACAAAAGCTCCCACGGTTGACTGAGATCTGGAGAAAGTCACGTTTCTCCTTATATTTTGTAACTCAACAAACCGCTTTTAAAGATTTAACAACAAACAACAAAAAAAACAACAACAACAAGGAATAAGTGTATCCACTAGTGAGTAAATTAATCCAAAACTTAATCTGAATGTTTGGGGATCAATGTATCATACACATTAATGATAAGTGCTAGAGTTGAGCAATCGAAACATGTGGAGTGATATTTACCAATTCAGGTATACCAGCCCAATGCTCACACCCGGCATTTGACCAACATCAGACTTGCGATCCGTATCCGGCATGATGTACGCTTTCATCCGGTGCGCGTAAAGTTTTCAAATCATCATGAGATAAGCTTTATCTGAAATCTAAATGATTTTTTCTTGTTCCATTTCTCATTTTTTTTTTATATCGGTCGATTTTTGAGGCGAGGGGATTGATGACAACAAAATTCGTTCAAATATTTGAGGATATTCAGGTGCTGGTATTTTTAAATTGCGCCTTCATCTTTCTTCAACGTCCGGTTGATAAATCTTCATTTACCTATTCCAGTGAAATGTACTTATGGTACGCAATTTACTAATATACAGTGACCTACTTTGGGTTCCCAACGCCCGGGGAAAGACAAGTTTAAGAATGTCCTAATCCAGTGCTGTTCAACGCACGGCCCACGGGCTGAGTATGGCCTAGCACAGCTTGAGATTTTTTATGATGTTTGTAAAAAAAAATATTTAAAAAAAACATTTTAGGGTGAAAGTATTTTCTAACCCCATTCATTGATTTATTGTTGTTGAGAAATTGCGTGAGAGCAAAGGACAGGTTGAAACATTGGGGGGTGTTTGGGGATGGGGGTGTCACAAAAACAAAGGAGTGGGATGTCTTGACAGGTAGCCGTAAATTATGTTAAGCATATCATTAGAGCTACCCTTTGGGAATCTAGATGGAAAAAAAAATAAATACTATATTCTCCTTATTTCTGTTGCCGGTACAGGGAACGCGCCGCGGGATATCGGGTACAATTACTGACGGCGTTTAAAATTATGAAAAGGAAAACCCAAAGTAACGCGATGTGTAGCTATTCGGGCATTTTAAAAATATCCATGCCCCCACCAACGGGAAAAAGTCTTATGAAACAGATAGGTGAGCACAGCGAGTTGATTGTTGCGCTTTGAGGGGATGATACTAATAGGACGGGAAAGTCTTCAAGGTGTGAGCTGTAGTACTGAAAGTGTGGAAATGGAATGACTACGGCTGGTAGTGTGAACCATTTCTGGTGCCATGCTATTCAAACAGGTGGATTAGGCCAGGTATGGGAGAGTGTGTCCACCCAGTATTGTGACATTAAGGGCAAGTACCTGGTATCCAGAGATCTGAGCAGGAAATGTTAAATGAGTAGAAAGCAGGATGCAAGAGAGGGATCGTGAGAGACAGTAGGAACGATTCTTGAAAGTATTTATTTATAAATAAACATGCGAATACGTGACCAAATAAATTATGGATGACGTCATGTTTCTTCTAATGAATTTTTCCACAACTACGGAATTGTTGCAACAACATTTTGACCATGTTTTGACCGTACACCAGTCAAGCTGGATTCTATGTTATGACTAACATCAATTCTAGAAAACGTCTGGACAGCTGACCATTGTAGTGTTGCGTTTGTTTTAATTGTGGTAAATTATAGATTTGTTTCTTTTTTTGTTTGTTTTTTTACTTTTGCACCGCGCTTCGAGCCTTTGGGGATGAAGCGTGTTTTTGAAATAAACTTTATGATTATTATTATTATTATTAAAAAATTATAAATCTAATAAGGGCGGGTGCTAGTAATAACCGACTCAAATTTAGAACATTGCAAGTACAATTCAAAGCAAATCTGTCATTTAACAGCGCTACAGTCTTATTCGCTTTATTTATATCCTAGATGAGCCGATATTGTTATTATGTATATGATTCTTTATCCACAAAGTAAGAAGTAATAATAATGTGAATAATTTTCTAAAAATTTAAAAAAAAAAAAAATCTTTCTTTCGAGATGAAATGTGGGGGCCTAGCTTCGCGGAAACAGTTTTGGTCCACGTAGTCAAGAAGGTTGGACAGTAATTTCCTAATCCATGGATTGTTTGCAGTCAGTGAGTCCCTTTCATCACTCCAGCATTTAGCCCATTATTCCTTCCTATTAATGAAGAACTTGTATTGTCCATTAAGAAAATAATGATGTGAAAACACAGCGGTTGTGTCGAAATATTGTTTTTAAAGTTATTTGATTTCATTTCATCCTTTTTTTTTTTGCGCCAATGGAATTTGCGCGCATGGGGAAACCACCCCTCTGGACTCCTTATGCTATGCCAGTTGTCGGCAGACTCATTAGGCCAGTGGTCGGCAGACTCATTAGGCCAGTGGTCGGTAGACTCATTAAGGCCAGTGGTCGGAAAACTCATTAGACCAGTTGTCGGCAGACTCATTAGGCCAGTGGTCGGCAGACTCATTAGGCCAGTGGTCGGCAGACTCATTAGGCCAGTGGTCGGCAGACTCATTAGGCCAGTGGTCGGAAGACTCATTAAGGCCAGTGGTCGGCAGACTCATTAGGCCAGTGGTCGGAAGACTCATTAAGGCCAGTGGTCGGCAGACTCATTAGGCCAGTGGTCGGAAGACTCATTAAGGCCAGTGGTCGGCAGACTCATTAGGCCAGTGGTCGGAAGACTCATTAAGGCCAGTGGTCGGCAGACTCATTAGGCCAGTGGTCGGAAGACTCATTAAGGCCAGTGGTCGGCAGACTCATTAGGCCAGTGGTCGGAAGACTCATTAAGGCCAGTGGTCGGCAGACTCATTAGGCCAGTGGTCGGAAGACTCATTAAGGCCAGTGGTCGGCAGACTCATTAGGCCAGTGGTCGGAAGACTCATTAAGGCCAGTGGTCGGCAGACTCATTAGGCCAGTGGTCGGAAGACTCATTAAGGCCAGTGGTCGGAAGACTCATTAAGGCCAGTGGTCGGCAGACTCATTAGGCCAGTCGTCGGCAGACTCATTAAGGCCAGTGGTCGGCAGACTCATTAGGCCAGTTGTCGGCAGACTCATTAGGCTAGTTGTCGGCAGACTCATTACACCAGTGGTCGGCAGACTCATTAGGCCAGTTGTCGGCAGACTCATTAGGCCAGTGGTCGGCAGACTCATTAGGCCAGTGGTCGGAAGACTCATTAAGGCCAGTGGTCGGAAGACTCATTAAGGCCAGTGGTCGGCAGACTCATTAGGCCAGTTGTCGGCAGACTCATTAGGCCAGTTGTCGGCAGACTCATTAAGGCCAGTGGTCGGCAGACTCATTAGGCCAGTTGTCGGCAGACTCATTACACCAGTGGTCGGCAGACTCATTAGGCCAGTGGTCGGAAAACTCATTAGTCAAAAGAGCCAAAAAATCAGCACCAGGACGATTCAAAAAATTTTGAGTGACGAATTTCTTTTCAAGAACCTGTCAAGAGCCATGTTTTTCAGAGTCAAAACCGATTTGTGGCCGACTGGCCAAGAAGCATACAGGTCGCTGAAGAGCAGCATGTGGCTCGCGAGCCACGATTTGCCGACCACTGTGCTATGCCATTGTTCATATCTTCAAAAAAGTAGATATATATTACAAAGATATCTCACTTTAGATTCCATTTTAGAAGTTATATTTGACCTTTGACAAGTGCCAAATATTTAATGATGTAGTTGTACAAAATCGCTCATTTTGTTGGCAAAATAATTGAGAGAGTTTGCTTTTCAAATGTAACTTTGTTACGCCATCATCGCGAACAATAAAAACCAATATATTTAGAGATGTCATGGAGGGTTTGAGACTATCAATATCTGACAAACACCTTGACAGGGGTCGCTTAGTGGCACGCCCCACATATTTCTTTCATCCGTTCACCTTTGACCCCAAAAGGACACTGGGGTGTATAATTAAATATGGATTTGTATTTGAAATAACGAGTGGACATTATGTCCTGACACTGCCCCTGGTGCCGCACATCTAAACCTGATCGTGTTTTAATTGAACTTTATTGAACAACGATTCCGGCTGCTGATCGAACCATTTTGTTGATGCCAACCCTAACATTTTCCTATAGTTCTAAAGCAGAGTTTTTTTTAACGCTAGAATATTTGGGGATGTTTGGTAAGTTTTGTTCCTATAAGATACCTTTACTTACATCCCTCCTACCCACCTACACACACTTCAAATATTTACCAAGAAAGAAGAAAGAAATTCATTAACACGAAACGCCTTGTAAGAGAAGGTATTAAACAGAAACTCGTCCCTCTCCCCCATAGACAGCGACGAGGCCATGACAGGCAATTCAGGCTCATACCAGCAAGAAGCCAGTATAGCAGCTGCTCATTCCTGCCCAAGACAATCAGGGACTGGAACTATCTTTCAAAAGGAACAGTTGAGGCGACAACACTAGACACATTTGTGTCTATTGCCTCAAGCCTTCAAACTCCAAGTGCATAATTTCCTCATCACCACCAGTAACAGAAACATTGCAAATCCCATCTACATGCATAGGAGCCAAAATGATCAATAAATTGATCGTGGGCCCTTAAGATATAGAAGAAGAAGAAGAAGGTAACTCCATGTGGTCATGATAGCTTATCGAATTCCAATATTTAATTTCTAATCCAATCCACTTAAAGTGGTTGAAGAATGAAATGTTTCTTTACCCCACCGTTTGTTCTCACTGAGCGTTGTATTAAGGAAACTCAAGCTCGTCAAATGTTTTCATCTATCTATTTTTTGGGCAGATTCGCTATTGCACCGATTCCGATGAATTGTAGCTTGAATCAGTTTTATGTTTCTTGAAAACATTCAAGCGTTTTTAATCCAGGTTTTAGTCTAAAATTGTGAGGAATAATTACAAGTTCTGCTGATCAGAAATCAAACTCAAGTTTTGTTTTTTTCCAAACTGTGTATCTGAAATGAAACGCATCGAAAGCTTCATGATGAAAAGCAAAACACAGGAATAGCATTACAAAGGTAGCTTCACAACGAAACACGGGCATGGCATTACAGAGGTAGCTTCACAACAAAACACGGGCATGGCATTACAACGGTAGCTTCACAACAAAACACGGGCATCGCATTAAAAATGTAGCTTCACAACAAAACACGGGCATGGAATTACAACGGTAGCTTCACAAAGAAACATGGGCATGGCATTACAGAGGTAGCTACACAAAAAAACACGGGAATAGCATTACAAAGGTAGCTTCACAACAAAACACAGGAATAGCATTACAAAGGTAGCTTCACAACGAAACACGGGCATGGCATTACAGAGGTATTTTCACAACAAAACACGGGCATGGCATTACAACGGTAGCTTCACAACGAAACATGGGCATAGCATTACAAAGGTAGATTCACAACAAAACACAGAAATAGCATTACAAAGGTAGCTTCACAACAAAACACAGAAATACCATTACAAAGGTAGCTTCACGACAAAACGCAGGACTAGCATAACAAAGGTAGCTTCACAACAAAATACTGGCATGGCATTACAAAGGTAGCTTCACAACAAAACACGGGCATGGCATTACAGAGGTAGCTTCACAACAAAACACGGGAATAGCATTACAAAGATAGCTTCACAACAAAACACGGGAATAGCATTACAAAGATAGCTTCACAACAAAACACGGGCATGGAATTACAACGGTAGCTTCACAAAGAAACATGGGCATGGCATTACAGAGGTAGCTACACAAAAAAACACGGGGATAGCATTACAAAGGTAGCTTCACAACAAAACACAGGAATAGCATTACAAAGGTAGTTTCACAAAAAAGCACAGAAATAGCATCACAAAGGTAGCTTCACAACAAAACACTGGCATGGCATTACAAAGATAGCTTCACAACAAAACACGGGCATGGAATTACAGAGGTAGCTTCACAACAATATATAATGCGGGTGTCAAGTAGGAAATCAATCGATCATGTTAGATTAAAGCTAGTATTGATATACTGGGCCGGCGCTGGGGGGGGTGGCGAACTGGGGGGGGGGCGCTCAAGGCCCCGCACGTTGCCGTAGTATATTTATAACATACCTAAGCCTACTAATAGTAACAATATATAATGCGGGTGTCAAGTAGGAAATCAATCGATCATGTTAGATTAAAGCTAGTATTGATATACTGGGCCGGCGCTGGGGGGGGGGGTGGCGAACTGGGGGGGGGGCGCTCAAGGCCCCGCACGTTGCCGTAGTATATTTATAACATACCTAAGCCTACTAATAGTTCCTAATCCAGTCAACACAATATTCGGAGTGATTAGATAGTCAAATGGCCTGAAGGTCAGCCTGGCTCCCACACTATCCCTTTAGATAGGCCCCAGTGCGACTATAACGTTTCTTAATATCCTATCGGCGGAATATATAACGTCAACGGCCCCGCAAATATCAATTTGCCCAAGGCCCCGCACCCTCCTAGTGCCGGCGCTGTTGATACGCATCCCCAACCACGAATGAGTTCATGCCACCCTGATGTGAAACCAACAACGTGTTCATTAGACCAGAAATTTCGATTTCGGTCGATTGGATTTCTAATGAACACTTCTATGAATTTTCTCTTTCAAAAATATGATGATAGGCCACTCTTCCGCTTACTTTCACAATACTCTTTGAAAGAAACAGAGAAATGTAAACTATGATTTTGATTGGTCTGACGTTAAAAAGTATTTAAATTGGGAGAGCTTTAGATCTGGACAGACTAGAGTTGTAAATCACCTCTTGGTGGACAGACTAGATTTGGAAGCCACCTCTTGGTGGACAGACTAGATTTGGAAGCCACCTCTTGGTGGACAGACTAGATTTGGAAGCCACCTCTTGGTGGACAGACTAGATTTGGAAGCCACCTCTTGGTGGACGAGACGAATGAGGTGATTTTAAAAGGGCGGACAGCATCAAGATGGTTGATACTAATTTGTGGGCAAGCCAGAGATTATGGTCTCAGAAAAAGGTGGACTGGCCAAAGACGTTATAGACTCCGATAATAACTAGCCGACAAGCTAGATTTTATGGTATTAGAAAAAGGTGGACTGGCCAAAGACTTTTTAAGACTCCAAAAATAATTGGTGGACACGCTAGTGAAAAACAACAGCCCCTAAAATAATTTTTTCAACAACAAAACAAAAACAACAAAAAAACTGTTGAGGCTGTCTTTGTGACGTGAGGGCAGACATTGACCAATGGTCCGTCTTTATAGGAATGATTTGACCCAGTTTGCGTTTTCTGTCCACTAAGACCTTGGTCAATCACTTTCTGCGAACCTGCTGTTTTGTTACAACAGTCATCACCAACGTTAAACATGCATCAAACGTGTCGCCCGCCTTGCACATGTTCTTTTCTAAAACCAAAACTTTCATGTTTAATTTTCGACGCAGTCTTCATTCAGATTCGTATTACTATTGATTTAGTTTGTTATGCAGAGCTTGTTTACTACACTTTTCCCGTGCGTGAACTTTCTTTGACCCCGCATTAGACTTCTAGCAGACAGTAACGTTTGTTGTGGGCGCGGTTAAAAGTGTCTGATGTATCGTGTTTACTACAGTCTTCAAATTAAACATGGTTAGTATGTCTACTAGTGTCTTGTCGAAGGTTCTCGATTGTATTAGAAAACTAAGGGCGTTTCTAGGCGCGGCGGTAGACCCACATATATAAGGGATTGACAGGCAGAGAGGAACGGAGATGGATAAATATTTTACCTTCACGAGACGTGTATTATTCTTTGTGTACTTTTATGTGCTTATTCGCATTGATCGTTCATCATTATTCACTGGCACATTGTACTAACTGTGTTTACTGTGTACCGGTACAAGATCTACCATACTGTAAGTTGATGATTTGTAATGATATTTCTTTTGTTTTGTAATTGTATTATTACTAAATTAAATCTTATGAATTGTAATTGGTACTGTTTTTGGGTGTCGTACTTTTGTTATTTTATTTCTCTATGGTATCGTCCTTTGTTAGGCACTGTTTGAAAGAGCCATACATTTAAAATAGGAGATTAATTTCTAACAAGAGAAGGTAGTGCGTAACAGGTTATTTCCACAGTTATTTTTTACCGAGATAATTTAAACCATAAACTCCACTCCTGCAAACTTTAAGACCAGCTTATCTATTTTAAAGAGACTATTTTTTTTAATGACAAAGCTTACCCCGGGGGGGGGGGCGGCGACGGATCTGATCATTAGATCCATAACCGATCCGTCGTCTATTCAGACACATCGTGGTCTCACTGGGGTCACTTTTTTTCCACAGTTATTTTTTACCGAGATAATTTAAACCATAAACTCCACTCCTGCAAACTTTAAGACCAGCTTATCTATTTTAAAGAGACTATTTTTTTAATGACAAAGCTTACCCCGGGGGGGGGGGGGCGGCGACGGATCTGATCATTAGATCCATAACCGATCCGTCGTCTATTCAGACACATCGTGGTCTCACTGGGGTCACTTTGACCCATCGTGCCATCAATCAATCCACCTAAAGGTTTGTACACACAGTCGATGTGTGACTCATGATGCTGTCAAATGATGAGGGGGAGACTGGACGTGATGCTTTGACAAACTCTATTTATAGGATATCCCAAAATAACATTAAAAACGGTTTTAAAAATTGAAATTTGAAGTTCGATTAAACTAACGCTAATTGCTTGAAGCGGTGCATTTTACAAGATGTTTGTCGAAAGATATAAGAATTCATTTTTTTTAAATAGATAATAATAGACCTAAATTGTTTTTACTTTAAAAATTTTATTTAAGCACAGTTATTGATTTTTTTTAAAGGTATTGATAATCAACTCCAATTATAGTTAAAGTTTAGTTGATTCTATGGTTTGGTAAGTTCTCCTGTACTTTTGATACGACAATGGTGTCACTTTTTCTGGTGTCAGTGTTCTGGTGTCACTTTTTTGGTGTTACAATCCAGTGAGAAAATTTGAGGTGTGACGTATTTATATATAAACTCGGCTCCTTTATTGTCCCCACTATGTCTGGTGTCGCAATCTATCGTTCGACTCCAGAAGCTCCTCCATTTTTGTTAATTGGTAGTTTAAACAGACCTCATGGGCTCGGGACTATGTGTCGTACTAAAGAGTTCACGTCTTTCTGGCTCCGGGCCTGCTGCCCATGTTAAATTATTCACTTATGTTTGGCCCCGGGACTGTTTCTTGGAATAAAGGGTTCAAGCCTTTCTGGCCACGGGACTGTTGAACTGAACAAAGGATTCAAGCCTGTAGGACCTTGGCCGAACTAATGCATTATTTACATCTTAAACAATGGTAACAGCACCCGAAAGGCTTAACTGGTTGACTTCCTTGTAGTTGGTTGTGGAAAGCGTAAGGCTATAAGATGAAATCGTGAGCATTGACGCCACAATATATGATAACAAAGAAAAAAATGGAAGGCTGGAGTCTTTGCAATACATTAGATCTATAATATACAATAACATTTTATTAAAATTTTACAAAATAGTAATAACAATAGTGTGAATGTGAATACACACAAACAAATGCAGCAAAGAAAAGGCTTATACTTTAGAAAGATGGACAATAAGTTAAAGTTCCATGGTGGCAGTAAGGTCGAAGGAAATACGTGAGACAAAGTAGGGGAAAGTTTTTTGAAAAAGGACGTAACAAAGCAACGAACGTGTCGGCGTGAAGTCTTCTTTAGCCGAAACACAACAGTACAACAAATCTAAACATTAAAAGAAACACTTAGCTGCAATGTAGTATCTGAGGGGACAGCAAGAGGATTGTGGGTAATCTATTGAAGCCTATAAACATGCACACATTTTTTTATTAAAGAAACGGGAAATGTTGTTGTATACCCATTTACTTACATCACGTGTGGAACCTAAGTGTGTTGTGGATCCCAGATAGAGACCCAGCATATGGCCACCTCCAGATTCTGAAATTGATTGAACCAATATGTCCACCCACTTCTTCTACCAAACTTGATTGAATCAATATGTCCACCTCCATCTACTACCAAAATTGATTGAACCAATATGTCCACGCCCATCTACTACCAAAATTGATTGAACCAATATGTCCACGCCCATCTACTACCAAAATTGATTGAACCAATATGTCCACGCCCTCCTACTACCAAAATTTGATTGAACCAATATGTCCACCCCCATCTACTACCAAAATTGATTGAATCAATATGTCCACCCCCATCTACTACCAAAATTGATTAAGCAATATGTCCACCCCCATCTACTACCAAAATTGATTGAACCAATATGTCCACCCCCATCTACTCCTAAAATTTGATTGAACCAATATGTCCACTCCCAGCTTCTACCAAAGAAAATCAGCAAGCTGAAGAACCTTGAAACCCTCCTTCTGTTCATCAACCAACTGACCAAGTTGCCGGACACAATCGTACAGATGACAGAGCTGCGATGCCTGTGGTTGGGCAACAATCAAATCAAAGCCTTGCCCAAAGGATTCGGTTATCTCACAAAGTTGGATTGGAAAGACAGGTGAAGAATAATTGTTCTAAAGTAACGTGCTCACTTCCTTGATATGAATCATTTTAGGCCCCCGTAGTTGACAGCTGCCATTATGGGCTAGGCATGATCTACTGAGCTTATCCTAAAAATAATAATAATAATTTTTTAAGTATTGCCCAAAAACATAATCTTATTTTTTTTTTATGTTAATAGTTTTATGAAACGCTTTCAATATTCACATTTCACGTATGTTTTTGATTCACAGGTACACGTCGTCAACACTGGACGGGAATCCTCTGGTCAACCCGCCCTTCGAGATCTGTCGTCAGGGTCCCGAGGCGATCGAAAAGTACCAGGGCGTGGGTCCCAACGTCGATGCCGAGCATGAGGCGGAGAAAGACGATAAGAGCCGAGGAAAGGGGAGGAACAGGGCGCCATCTGACGCAGCCAGAAGTCTGCAGGGCTCTGAAGGCGGCAGGAGCAGGGGCTCTATAGACGCTACAGCTTACCGCAGAGGCAGGGCGCCCTCTGACGCCAGCAAATCCTTGTCGCCAGATTCTAAAAAGGAAAAGGCGCCAAAATTAGCGGCAGATAAGGAGAAGGGACAGAACTATTTACCGAACATTGCAGGAATGGACCGGAGACGGTCTTCCGTGAAAACGAGTGGCGGGAATGAGGGCACTATTCGAAATGGACAAACAACAGCACCCTCTAGGAAATGATGTATGCGCTACTATACTGCTGCGCATAAAGATATTTACGTCACAAATTAATTATAATCCAATAACAACACCCTTTATATCGACATGTTTAGCTTACATTAGCGCGCTAATCTGCCCCTTCCCTTTTGTTTTCCAAAGCTGTCTAACTGCAGTTGATCCGTCCATCCTTTGAATATTTTTGCTATAGACACAAGGTTAAATATAGCTCACCGCTAAGTTAATTCTGTCCTTAGAGACCATATTATATATGCCTACCATGACACTACTTGCTATGCTTGTTTCATACAATCCACACACAACAACAACAAAAAATAGGAACAAACAAAGCACTTATCTGATTCCGTCTATCAACGCTGAAAAAGGGTCAATTTCTAAAATTAGTAACACTATTTTGTTTAACCAATCGGACTTCAATGTTTCTTTCTTTTTTTTTTTTTTTAATGGTTTCCATTTGTTCATAACAATAAGAACGCGCAATTTTATGACGCCATTGTAAAGTGCTGTTTCACTTAAATTAAATCAAGAAATTCTGACAAAACATACAATTTGATTTGTTATAGACTGCACTTCATTTGAGGCGCAGGATAATATAAACCGTTAATCCTAGTACAATGGATTTGTCGGATACACTACGATTTGAGTTTTCTGAGCCCAAATCGTGGTAAGTAAATTAAAGTAATTGAACTGAAAGCACTGATCACTGAACAATTTTGTTACGGAAATGTTTGTCAAAATTATTGAGTTTTTTGTTTTTTTTCCTATTTAATTTTAATGGAAGAAAGTAATGGCGCAAAGTAGATATCAGAATAACAAATCTATTCGGTTACAGGCCTCCAGTAGTTCATTACAAATTACACACGTACATGTTTGCTTACTTCACAAATTACAATATTACAGGTCAACAATTTACGATTGAGTAATATTTCATTTGTTTTCCAAATAGCTCCACGATATGACAAGTCTAAAAAAAGAAATGCTTCAATAGTTGTATGTTATTAACCCTTGTATTTACCTTTCTTACATGTAAAAAAAAAAAAAAAAAAAGTCTAACCAAAATTGAAATGTATATTTTTTTATTAATGCCCTTGATGTTATACAAACACTATGTGTAAATAAAAGAATATATATTAAGCTTTAATTTTGATTGCACAAAATACAAATTTAAACGTTTCGGCTAATCCCTTCATCCGTGCAACAAAAAATATTAATATTATTAGAAATCAAATTTACATAATATATGTAAATCCTACAATGCCTAAAATGCCTAAAAAATGAAAGAAAATAATAATAATTGGGCAAAAGTCCGAAACGAAAACAAAGATCAGAAGAACGGATAATCAGAGGGGGTAGACATTTTCAGGAACGTTTTAATTTCTTTTTTATCTTATCATAATTAATGTTAAAGCTAAACATACAGGGTGGCCCAGAGAAAGTGAGAAGGTCTCGTAATAAAGGGTTATATAATTGAATTAATATAAAGTTTTGTATATACATTTTCATGAAATTTATTACGCTAATCAGAAAACATGCGCCCCCCCCCCCTCCCCACCACTCTGCCTGCGTCTCAACGACTTTTTGTGAGCCTTGGCGCCTCGTTTATGCTTTTGACAATAAAGCGAAGTCATAATATTTTTGGGCCATCATGTATATTGTTTTATTTACACAAATTGGGTCTCGTTAACCTATGTAAAAGATTGATGTCAGCCCAACTAGTTTTTATAATTTGAAGCTATACAGATGTCTGTACTCAAATCAATAAACAATTAATTTATTCTTTATAAAATTTTACTTGAGGTTAATATTTTGTGGGAAACAGAGTGTTGACTTTATTTGGATGATTAAAAGGAAACGACAGAACAGGAAGGAAAAAAAAAAGAAATAGCTGAATAAGTGAGTGTTTTTGTGGGCCAACATTTTTTAAAGGGGCCGTACATAAAGTGCGCCACGTTATCTTTTACAATTTTTACCCCTCCTTACCTGTCAAACTCTGTCACAAACTTCGACCCCCCCCCCACTCCTCAGTAAGTGACATTTCCAAATTTAATTATTTTTTTTAAAATTAACAACTAATTAAATTAAATATAAAACACACTTAACTATTAAAATCAGACACTACTAAGTGACATCTTCTGTAAGAATACATCCAGCACGACAGAAAGTTAAACATCGCTATCAATTTCAGCTTTTATATGTATGATAAAAAATATACATGTGTGACGCACAGGAAGTTAACCCAACAACGGGCTGCGGAGGGGGCTTTCCACCCCGGGCGTCACTTACATGGAGAGGTCGAATTTCGGCCAACAACAGATATTTTTCTCAAAGAGCNTATAAAATTTTACTTGAGGTTAATATTTTGTGGGAAACAGAGTGTTGACTTTATTTGGATGATTAAAAGGAAACGACAGAACAGGAAGGAAAAAAAAAAAGAAATAGCTGAATAAGTGAGTGTTTTTGTGGGCCAACATTTTTTAAAGGGGCCGTACATAAAGGTCCCCACGTTATCTTTTACAATTTTTACCCCCCCTTACCTGTCAAACTCTGTCACAAACTTCGACCCCCCCCCCCACTCCTCAGTAAGTGACATTTCCAAATTTAATTATTTTTTTTAAAATTAACAACTAATTAAATTAAATATAAAACACACTTAACTATTAAAATCAGACACTACTAAGTGACATCTTCTGTAAGAATACATCCAGCACGACAGAAAGTTAAACATCGCTATCAATTTCAGCTTTTATATGTATGATAAAAAATATACATGTGTGACGCACAGGAAGTTAACCCAACAACGGGCTGCGGAGGGGGCTTTCCACCCCGGGCGTCACTTACATGGAGAGGTCGAATTTCGGCCAACAACAGATATTTTTCTCAAAGAGCTTGACGCCACTGACCATAGCTATGAATCTGTATGACATTAAAAAATGTTTGTAAGAGGGGTTCAAGCCCCCCCCCCCTGCCCCCTCCACAGAGGCTAAAAAAAGAAAAAAGAAGAGGCCCTGAGAACGAATGCAGCTTATACGGACCGAGTGGTCAAATTTTTCATCGACGGTTCATGTTTCCCTAGCAGAAACCTGAGTGGACATGGTGGACTGATTGAATACCCAGGACCGATATCTTCAAAAGAGATTTCAGTGCCCAGTCGGAAAAATAAGAACAAAATTCGATGCAGAGCTGGAGGTAATATTGGTTGCCTTGAAACACGGGGACCGTTGACTGTCGAAAGGGTGGGGTGGAGGCCTTCGCGAACATTGTGGTCTTCACCGACTCACAGCTTACGTTTGAAAGTGTGGGAAAGAGCTCGAGAGAGTCCTAAAGGAATACCGCCATTTCGGAGATAGGGAATGGCATTCATGCAAGTGGGGGCCAAGTCTTCTCCCCGTGGATGCCTTGTCACATTGAGGTGACGCAAAATGAGTCGCACAAAGTCGACCCGACCTACCCATGACTCACATGCGAGTCGAAGCGTGGCTCAAAAAACCATTTTCATGAAGAATGGTTAAATGGCCGGTCGGTTGGAGACAGGGCCCGGAAACTCTACCAAAACATGCCGAGCCCGGCAAGATTGGTGCCTGGGGGAACTGCCCCATGGTCGAACAAAGTCGCGTTACGCAGATGCGAAGTGAACATTGTCCGGTAAATAGCTGCTCCCACAAGCTCGAATCACATAAGGACACCATGTGCCAACTCTGCTACCCGGACGAGGAAACAGTCGTATACACATACTTGCGTAGTGGCAGAGGCGTAGCGATGGGGGGCAGGGGGGACAGATGTCCCCGGGCGCAAGCCAGTTAGGGGCGCCAAAATGTGCTTTTATATTATATTATTGGTAAAAATAATGGGTTTTAGAGTTGAAAAAAAGAAAAGGGGGCGCTTTAAAACGGATCTTGTCCCCGGGCGCCAAACACCCTCGCTACGCCACTGCGTAGTGGCCTGATATAAAAGGTGGGTTGGACTTGAACAATGAAGCCCGTGTTCAACTATTACTTTAAGGCGATGCCCGCTTCTTGGGGCTCGCCTGCCTCTTATTAACTGGTGGCAGTGTCGATGTGTATTTAAGCACAAGACCAACTAACCCCCCCCCCCTTTTCTTCTTTTTTTTTCGAGTTGTGGAAGCCAACCTCCCTGTCTCCCCTGGACCTTGGTCAATTCTGCATGGTGTTTGGTGGGTTGGACTTGAACAATGAAGCCCGTTTTCAACTATTACTTTAAGGCGATGCCCGCTTCTTGGGGCTCGCCTGCCTCTTATTAACTGGTGGCAGTGTCGATGTGTTTTTAAGCACAAGACCAACTAACCCCCCCCCCCTTTTCTTCTTTTTTTTTCGAGTTGTGGAAGCCAACCTCCCTGTCTCCCCTGGACCTTGGTCAATTCTGCATGGTGTTTAATTCGAGACTTAACTTTGAATATTGATGATTTTAAAAAATTAGGTAAAAAATAAATTAATCATTGTTGATTATTCGATAATGATATTGATAAAAAAAATTATTAAAATTTCACCAATAGCTAAATAAATGATTCTTCATATTTTTTCAACAACTCAAATTATCAAATCCAGAAACAATTGAGTATATTTATATATATATTATATATATATATATATATATATATGTGTGTATAGTTCTTCCTCTAAAAAACAAACAAAAAATCAACGACTCATATGGTAGTCGTACTCTGGCTGTGCCAAAATTGTATAAATTTTAAGATTTTATTTTAGAGTTCGATGCCCTGAGAAGCCATTTTTTTTAAAAATCTTTTAATGAACATCTTTTTTCCGTTTCCACAAAAACTTTGCGAACGAAGAAAATCAAAACCTGGCGGATTGGAAGCAATTGCTCCCCCCTCCCCTACACCTCCCCTACACCTTCCGTGTAGACACCCTCGAGTGTACAGATGGTCAAGTGTTTCGGACAGCGTGACTTTTTTTTTTCTCTCTTCAATTTAAAATTACTCTCTAGGATATTTTATTAGGGCTGAGCCGGGTACTGACCCAGAGATGCCAAATATGTGCACACCCGGCACAAACCCTGACCTGGCAAAAAAACAAAAAAAAACGGAATCGGGTCACGGTGTTTTTTAAAAAAAGGAGTTATCTTCTCATTTTCTATAATGTATTCCACCCAATGGGGAGCGATGCAGAAGCAATTCATTTTTTTTTTTTTTTACATTATCGTTCGTACATTTGACCCTGAATTCAACAAATAATAATAGAAAACTGACTGGCGATTAGTGTAAAACTAAATGTAAATTAAATGAAACGGCAAAGCTCTGTAAATAACATTGACAATGTACTTGATGCAAACTGTGTGCAATTATTTGTCTAAGCAAGATGCATATGTTTGGTTACGACCACGGCACTTTCTATTTACAATGAATATTTCATTTCACATTCTCACTGGTTGATGAAACTGAGTCGCCAAAGTGTGTTTGTGTGTGCGGATCATTTCTAAGATCTGTCCCATAATTCCATAGTAGTAATTTTATTTGAACACTCATTTAATAAGAGAAGAAGCTATTGGCTTAACTTAACTGAAGTAAGGCTGGGATGGTATCGCTATGATGATGACGTAAATATTTATTTTAAAAAAAAATAATATGCGTTCGTTGGTATAGGAAAATAAAAAGTGCTACTTCGAGTTTTGGTATGGTTATGGTTTAGGGAAGTGGCTCTCAACCTGTGGGTCACGACACCCTCGGGGGTCGCCCGGCAAAATTTACCCAAAGGATATGCTTACCAAGCCTCCTTTACCGAACCGTCCACGCTTATAAATTAGAGAACCAACACCATTGTATCTACAAGAAAGCTCCTCACTCCCCTCATTTCTCATCACATGTTTCACAATTTCAATTTATAATACTTGTGGTTGTGGGAACCACACTTTGGCAAATGTTATAAAAGGGTCGCGGGACTAAAAAGTTTGAGAAGCGCTGGGTAAGGATCATATTATGGAGCTAGTAGAGTTTTGAAACCTTCAATTTGATGCCTTCGTAATCGCCACTGGCTCATCTGTGCGTGCATTGTTCACATCTCTTCTCAAACGGCTGGAACATTAATTAATTTTATAAAACTAGAAGATGCTTTTCTTTACACACGGACCCCTCCCCCCCCCCCCACCCTTCCGGGTTT